ACGCTCACACACACACGCACGCTCGCACATGCTCACACACACACACACATTCACACATGCTCACGCACACACACGCACGCTCGCTCATGCTCACGCACACACACGCACGCTCGCTCATGCTCACGCACACACACGCACGCTCATGCTCACACACACATACGCACGCTCGCTCATGCTCACACACACACTCGCACACGCTCACACACATACGCACGCTCGCTCACACACACACACGCTCGCACATGCTCACACACACGCTCGCACATGCACACACACATGCACGCTCGCACACGCTCACACACACACACGCACGCTCATGCTCACACGCACACGCTCACACACTCACGCTCACACACGCACACGCATGCACACACACACACGCACGCTCACACACGCTCACACACACTCGCACACATTCACACACGCACAATCACACTCACTGTCACACACATACTCACTAACTCACAAGCACGCACACTCACACTCACTCAGATGCACAAACACTCACATTCACTCACACACATACACACTCACACTCACACTCACACTCTCTCTCTCACCCCCCCCCCCCCCCCCCCCCCCCCCCACACTCCCCCCCCACCCCTCCCCTCCCCTCACACTATCCCCCACCCCTCAACCCACCTGCTCCCCTCACACTTTATCTTTAACCCCGGGTCCCGCTGGGAAGGGTGCCGGCCATGTTCCCCGTGTTTCTCCCCACCCCGTGCCTCAGGGCGAATGCACGAGCGAAAGCCAAGTGGTAACAACGTGAACGCGTTCCCCTGAACAACCCCGGGGGGCGTGGGGTGGGGTGCACCAGCAGCGGGACGGGGACGGGGCGTGGGGCTCCATTCGAGATCGTCAATCAGGGCCCCTGTGCGGCTCATATCACACATTTTACAGGCAGGGCGACCCGCACCATCCCACACACCCGACACACCCCCCACACCCAGCCCCACCCCACACCCCACACCCCACCCCAGCACCCCCCACACCCCCCACCCCACCCCACACAACCCTGGGGGTGCTTCCTGTTTCAAATTGGCACGGGGAGCTCATTGGTTCGCTGTCGGGTTCTTCCGCAACCACATCTCGGCCAATCAGAGTTGACTGGCCAACCAGTTGAGGGGGGGTGCGCGCGGGCTGGATGGCCTGCCTACCCTCCGAGATTTTGGGTGTTCTTGCGCGCGGTGGGGTGGGGCGGGGGTGGGGAGCGACGAGAACGTGGCCGTGCCGATTGGGTGACCCCCCCGCCCTCCCCCACCACCGGCTAACCTCTGAACCCTGGGGTCAGGTACAGGCAGCTTCTGGCGCAGAAAGCACGGCTGGAAGAGGTGGAAGCGGCCCTGGAGCTTCAGCGCCAGGCTCTGGACCAGGAGGAACGCAGTCGGCGGCAGGAGACCGAGGCCTACCACAGGCTGAAGGAGGAGCACGACAGGTCAGTGCACAGCCATTCGGCCCGAGAGCTTTCCCCCTAGCCCCGGTCGGTTGGTGAGTGAGGGGCTTTGGGGGTTACAGGGTCCAAGCAGCTCCGTCCATGCCCCCTTCCTCAGCGTCGGATGAAGCCCTCTCGGAATCCACGCGCCACACGGCGGCTCTGTCCTTCGGCCCTGCCCGTTCCCTGCTAGCCCCGGACGCCGTGTACTTCAGATTGCAGTCTGACTTCCTCTTAATCCCCTCGGTGTTGCCAGCCTCTGCCACACTCTCTGGCAGCGTGCCCTACGTTCTAACCCCTCGCCCCTGGGAGACAGACGCCCCCTCAAGTCACTGCCTCCCACCACTTCGCGTCGGGAGCCTCGTCCCCTCTCTTTCCCAATTCCCCCCACCCCCTCAGTGTGGCTGGGGTAGGGGGGCTCTGTTCGTCCCTCCCTGCCCTCTTCACATCTTCCTGACAACGAAAGCAGAAGTTGCTGGAAAAGCTCAGCAGGTCTGGCAGCATCCATGGAGAGAAATCAATGAGTGAACGTTTCAGGTTATGTGACCCCCTTCCTCGGAGTTGAGGAAGACCCGTAACAATTCATGGCCCAGCTCCCCCTCGCCTGTACAGTGTCTGCCTGTTCCACATGTCTACCCAGTGGCCATTCAGTCCGTCCATGCTGTGATGTGTTGTGAGGGTGTGAGTGTCTCCCTCCTGCCCCCTGCAGGCTGCTTCAGAGGCACAGTGAATGTGAGAAGCAGCAGGATGAAGACCGAGCTGAGCAGAGGGCCCTGAGGAGCCAACTCAGCACCATGCAGCTGGAGAGGACCCGCACCGAGACTGAGTGCAACAGCCTGAAAGAACAGAACCAGCAACTCGATCTGCGCCTGGCCAAGCTGGTCAGCCAGTGTGAGGTACAGCAGGGGCACCGCACTCTCGCTCACACTCACTCACTCTCACGCACGCTCACTCTCACGCTCGCTCGCTCTCACACACGCTCACTCTCACTCACTCGCGCTCTCATGCTCGCTCGCTCTCACGCTCGCTCACTCACTCACACTCGCTCTCTCTCACGCTTGCTCACTCACACTCGCTCACTCTCACTCACTCGCGCTCTCACACTCGCTCACTCTCACGCTCACTCACTCACACTCGCTCGCTCTCACTCACTCACTCTCGCTCGCTCGCTCTCACTCACACTCGCTCGCTCTCACTCACACTCACTCACTCACATGCTCACTCTCACTCACACTCGCTCACTCACACTCGTTCACTCTCACACGCTCGCTCACTCACACTCGCTCACTCTCACTCACTCGCGCTCTCACACACACTCGCTCGATCTCACTCACGCTCAGTCACTCTCACGCTCGCTCTCTCACGCTCGCTCACTCTCGCACTCGCTGGCTCTCTCACTGTCGCTCTCTCACGCTCGCTCACTCTCGCACTCGCTGGCTCTCTCACGCTCACTCACTCTCACACATGCTCACGCTCGCTCGCTCGCTCTCACTCACTCACTCTCTCACACTCGCTCTCACACATGCTCACTCACGCTTGCTCTCACACTCGCTCACTCACACGCTCGCTCACTCTCACGCTCGCTCTCTCACGCTCACTTTCTCAGACTCACTCTCACACTTGCTCACTCTTAAACTCGCACTCGCTCACTCAGACTCAGTCTCACACTCGGTCACTCTCACACTCACACACTCGCACTCACACTCGTTCACTATCACACTCGCTCACTCATTCGTTCAGTCTCACGCTCGCTTACTCACACACTCGCTCACTGGCACTCGCTCACTCAGACTCACTCTCTCACTTGCTCACTCTCACACTCACACACTCGCACTCGCACTCACTCACTCTCACACTCGCTCACTGTCTCACATGCTCACTCTCTCACACTCGTTCACTCTCACACTCGCTTTCTCTGACTCACTCTCACACTTGCTCACTCTTGCACTCGCACTTGCTCTCATGCTCTCTCGCTCACTCATTCACGCTCGCTCACTCTCACGCTCGGTCACTCTCTCACATGCTCACTCTCACGCTCGCTCTCTCATATGCTCACTCTTACACTCACACTCACTCACACTCGCTCACTCAGACTCAGTCCCACGCTCACTCACTCGCTCACTGGCACTCGCCCACTCAGACTCAGTCTCTCACTCTCACTCGCACTCACTCACTCTCACACTCGTTCTCGCTCACTCTTGCTCGCACTCGCTCACTCACACACACACGCACACACACTCACATTCATACGCACACTCACTCTCGCTCACTCACTCTCACTCGCACTCACTGACTCGCACTTGCACTCACTCACTCACACACACACACACACTCATACTCATACAAACTCATTCACGCTCGCTTGCTCACACACACACACTCTCACACTCGCTCACACACACACTCACTCACTCACACTCATACACACATTCACACTCCCATACACACACAAAGACACGTACATTCACATTCTCACTCTCACATTCATACATACATTCACACTCCCACTCACTTACACACACAAAGACACACACATTCATACACACACACTCACTCTCACACTCACTTGCACATTCACACTCACAGTCATACACACATTCACACTCCCAATCACACTCCCACTTGCGCACTCACACTCACTTGCGCTTGCACTCACACTCACCTTCATACACACACTCACACTCTCACTCATTCTCACACACATTCACACTGACATTCACACATGCACATACACAATCACACAAACTCCCTCACTCTCATGCACTCACACACACCCTCACATTCATACACACATCCAAATACACATGCACTCTCTCATGCACACCTATACACTCTCTCACACACACTCATACACATCCATACCTCACACACACACACTCACTCACACTCACACCCACATGCACACACACTCACACACTTATA